GGGGTGGCAGCCCCAAGACCATGGCCCAGCGCATCTTGGCGCTGGCGGCCGAGGAGGGCCCCGAGCGGCTGCAGGAGGCCCTGCAGAGCCTGGGGGAGGGCGAGGTGCGCGGGTGCCCCGCGGGCTGGGCCCTGTGTGAGGGGAAGGGCGGGGGGTGCGGCGCTGAGCCCTGTCAGGCTTCTCCGCGGGTGAAGCGCAGCTCACAGCGTCCCCTTCTCTTTGCAGCTGGGCGATATGGTGACAAGGCAGGCCCTGAAGGGGAGGGAGACGGCAGCTTTGCTAAGAGGGATCTTCAAAGGTGGGTGAGCTCTGAGCGGTGCCTTGGGCGGGGGGGGGACGGGACTGTGGCCCCAGCCCCGCTGGCTGCCCGTCAGCCGCAGGGTTACAGGCTGGCTGGGTGAAGTCAGCGCTCAGCAGCACAAGGAAGTGTCACTTTTGGTAAAAAAAAACAGCCCATCACGGCTGTCACGGGGAAACTTGGCATCCAAAAATAGATATGGGGAAATAAGAAACTGCAGTAATATATTTTTAATGAACCTGTTGTAAGTGGGCTTTACTTTTGGGAGTCCTTATGTACCGTGGAGTAGAACTGAGCTGGCCAGCTGAGGCTTAATTGCTAAGCTGATTCTTCTAAACATTTTGACACTTCCTGATCTCTGTCAGCAGGTTGAGTGAGCCGCAGGGTGTGATAACAAGGTTGAGTGCTTCAGCAATTTTATCCAAGAGATTCTAATTTCCTGTGCTCTTTTTTTTTTTTTTTTTTTTTTTTTTTTGGCAGATAGATAAAATAAGGAGTTTCAGTCAGGTGACAGTTTAACTCTGCTAATTTCCTGTTGTTTAGTAACATGTTACTTGCATAAATTTTTTTCCATTCTTTGTTTTCTTTATTTTCTCATGCTTAGGCTCCCCTTGTTCCCAGCCAAGTGGTGTTCTCAGGAGGCTTCAGGTTTACAAGCACTGCATCCCACTAGTGGAGTCAGGGGACCTGCATTTGGGCAAGGTGTCTGAAATCATAGGACTGCTGATGCTGGAGGTAGAAGCTCGTTTGGGCTGGCTTTCCTGGGCTCTGCTGGGTATTGTTTTGTATGTCGATTGAGGTACTTCACTAGGCCACTGAGGAGAACGAGTTGTGTCCTTTCCCCAGACAGGACACAACAGCCCTGGCTGGTGTTGGGATTTGCTGTGTATGTAAATGTGCTTATCTCTAGATATTTAGGCTTAGACTTGAAACTCCAAACCTATAATTATATTGGCTTGATTTACTGCTCTGTTCCATAACGGAAAGTACAAAATAGAGATCTCAGGGCTGAATTCCTCTTTTAGGGGAACGTTTCACTCTAAGAAATGTTGTCCTTTGCTGGGTTTTGGTGATGGTTTGGACATCTATGTGGAGTTTTCCTATGCACTGCCTCAGGCTCTCATGTTTTTGTATCTTCTCCCAGGCTCGACATCTGCCAGGCCATGCATTGGCTGAGCTTGCCACCCTGTTTGTTGATGTTATTAAAGGTGGCAGCCTGTCTAATGGGAAATCCTTGGAATTGTTTTCCACTGTTCTCACTGCATTGGCCAGTTCGAAGGAGAGCCTGCCCTATGGGAAAGGTAACCCCTCTCAGTTCCTTCTCCCCAGACAGTCCTTCCTCTGGAATCAGCTTGTAAAAGACTTTTGCTTTTCCAGGTGAACTGAATGGAGAAGAGTTTAAGAAACAGCTGATAAATACCCTCTGCTCCAGCAAGTATGTACATCTGTGCCAGCTCTTTGTTACATGGCAAAACAGTGTGCTTCATGTTGTGCTTTGGAAAAGATACCACGATGAGCTGGATGTCACTGTCTGTGTCCTGTTCTTTCACTGCTGAATCTGTTCCCTCTGTGACAGTGCCTTCTCTGGGTGGGAAGGCAAGGGAACACCCTGTTCCCAAATCTTGTAATAGCGCTGCATGAACTGGTCTCAGGAAGTGCTTGTTTTTATTCCTTTCTTGGTATTTGTTATTGTAAGGGTTGTGGCAGTTCAGAACCATTATATGTCTGGGTGGTTAGGGTGGCAGTGGTGATTTCTGGTGGAAATCTGGCTTCTAATCTTAATATAAGAACATAACAGGGAAATGGTGACATTGAATAATTGTGTATGAGGAGGGAAGGGCTGAGGAATAATTCTGCTTGCTCATTTTTCCAACTTATTTTTGTTTTACCAGGTGGGATCCTCAGAGTGTAATACATCTTGCCAACATGTTCAGGTAATTTTTTTTCCCTTCAATACCAACACTTTCTGTGCTGTGGTCATGTCTGTGTCCTATTTCACATGTACTTTGGGGCAAGTATGAGTAGAAGGTGTGACTGTACTGGGCACAGCCCCATGGATGGTTGGTCGATGAACATCACATTGGATCCGTTTGGGTACAAAACACAACTGAGCAAGCACAGCCCAAAGACTGGGTATGGCATCATGGGTTTTATCCCATGTGTGAGTGAGCCTTGGCAAATTAACAGTAAATTAATGAACAAGCATAATGTGGAGCAGATCTGAGCACCAAAAGTTGAAGATTATCCTGGGACCATGGTAGGGATCTGTGACAACTGCTTCTGGTGAGGACTTTCCAGCTAGCCAGCAAGTGCTCCCACATTAGGACACTTTTTAGGAGTTATGGGTTCTAGTTCTGGGTTGAATCTGCTGTGGGATTCTGAAGGAAATTAGTGAAAATTATTATGCTGCATCTTTGATTCAACAGGGATATTCCACTATCGGGAGAGGAGCTGCAGTTTGTGGTGGAAAAGATCCTTAGGATGTTCTCCAAATTAGACCTTCAGGAAATTCCCCCTCTAGTCTATCAGCTGCTGCTGCTTTCTGCGAAGGTAAAAGCTCGTGGGAGCTGGCCTCCCCACA